AAATACTTTAATTTTTAAAATATAAAATTTTACATAATTTTAAATTAATAAATTTTAAAATTATGGTGCGTTCTTTTTTCTATTAAAAAAAAACACAACGCCTTGATCTTGTAACCGAAGATGCGAAAGTGCTGCCGAAGACTTTCGAACCCAACTGTTTGGAACATTTGGTCTAGGTGGGTCTGCATTGCATGCCCCACTATGCAAACATCTCTTTCGTTATCTATACGAAACTAAGAGTATGTTTGTTGCAGATTGTGGGAAGAGTTTTTTTGACTTGAAAAGCACAAACTGCACTAAATGGGTCAGTTTCCCAAACTGACTGCAGCATTTGAGAAACTCAGCTTCTCGTTTCTAATTTAATGAAATTGACATGGTCTCTCCATTTTATCCTCATACTTCCTTTTATTTATGAAAAAACTACTATATAAAGGATCAATTTATAACATCAAACCAACCAGCCCCAGGCACATTCATTTCTTCTTCCTCATCCAATCACAGAAACAAATCGAAAATACTTAACTATATTATTCCTCATCCAATCAAAGAAATCAACCGAAAATACTTACCGTATTCTTCCTCATTTTCTTTCCCCCTAAACCGAAAAGGCAAAATACCCAAATCCACCCCCAAAGTATAGTGGTAGGGACGGATCCACCTTCGAACAAAAAACGGGGACAAATCCACTCACAAAGTTTTCGATTTGGACAAATAACTCCAAATTTAACGTGTGACGTCATTTGACATCAGCAATTCATTAACGGATTGCTTACGTCAAATTAACAGATTACTGATGTCAAATGACGTCACACGTTAAATTTGAAGTTATTTGTCCAAGTCGAAAACTTTGTTGGTGGATTTGTCCTCGTTTTTTGTTCGAGGGTGGATCTGTCCCTGCCACTATACTTAGGGGCTGGATTTGGGTATTCTGCCGACCGAAAATCCCCTCAACTTCCGTTCGGAGACGAACCCCGGAGCTGGGTTCGCGACGAACCCCGCGCTTGGGTTCGCGACGAACCCCGCGCTTGGGTTCGCGACGAACCCCGCACTTGGGTTCCAAGACAAACCCAACACCTGGGCTCTGAGATGAACCCAGGAGCGATGAACCAAGCGCGTGGTTCGTCGCAAACCCCTCCCTTGGGTTTCGAGACGAACCCAGGCGAACCCAGCTCCTGAGTTTCGCGACGAACCCCGCGCCTGGGTTTGCACA